CTCGTGATGTCAGTGGCGTATCTCGTGATTTCAGTGACGTATCTCATGATGTCAGTGGCGTTTCTCATGATGTCAGGGGCGTTTCTCATGATGCCAGGGGCGTTTCTCATGATGGCAGGTGCGTATCTCGTGATCTCGGTGGCGTATCTCGTGATGTCGGTGGCGTATCTCGTGATGTCAGTGGCGTATCTCGTGATTTCAGTGGCGTATCTCGAGATGTCAGTGGCGTATCTCGTGATGTCCGTGGCGCATCTCGTGATGTTGGTGGCGTATCTTATGATGTCAGTGGCGCATCTCATGATGTCAGGGGCGTTTCTCATGATTTCAGTGGCGTTTCTCATAATGTCAGTGGCGTATCTCATGATGCCAGTGGCGTATCTCATTTCAGTGGCGTATCTCATGATGTCAGGGGGTTATCTCGTGATTCGATCGGTGTGACCACCCCCTCGAACCCTCCCCCCTCCCCGTTTTCAGCAGCACTTTTGGGATTCATACAAATGAATTTTCATGTGTGTTTTTGTGCGCCCATTCAGGAGTCCCCAGGCATTTCATCACGGTACGCCTCTGCTGAGGATGCCATTTATTTCCACGAAGCCGTAGGCATTTTTAAGGACAACGACTATCTGTTACTGTTAAGTAGTAGATAAAGCATTTAAAGCTATGCATAACGTAGTTTATTACAATTTTTATCTTTTTTTTTAACGTCTTAAATGTAACGCCATGAACCATGCGATTAATGCTCTCTCACGTCCCCCCCCCACCCCGTCGTCAATCCATTTCACGATATTTACCCTTTGATGAGATGAACAGATGGGGCGATCCAGGAAAAAAATAAAAATATTTATAACGTCAGGAACCGAATCAAAACCTGAAATGTGATATCTCGGCCTGAGGAAAGCTGGTATCAAAAGTGGGGTGGGGGGCATGTGGGGTGGGGAGTATGTGGGGAGCGGGGTATTTGGGGGTGCTGGGTATGTGGGGTGCTGGGTATGTGGGGAGAGGGGTATGTGGGGGTGCTGGGTATGTGGGGGGCGGGGTATGTGTGGGGGAAAGTATGTGAGGTGAGGGTATGTGTGGTGGGGTTATGTGGGGTGCTGGGTTTTTGGGTTGTGGGGAATGTGGGGGCGGAGTATGTAGGGTGCTGGGTATGTGGGTGGGGTATATGGGGTGCTGGGTATGTGGGTGGGGGTATATGGGGTGCTGGGTATGTGGGTGGCGGTATATGGGATGCTGGTTATGTGGGTGGGGGTATATGGGGTGCTAGGTATGTGGGTGGGGGTATATGGGGTGCTGGGTATGTGGGTGGGGGTATATGGGGTGCTGGGTATGTGGGTGGGGGTATATGGGGTGCTGGGTATGTGGGTGGGGGTATATGGGGTGCTAGGTATGTGGGTGGGGATATATGGGGTGCGGGGATATGTTTTTAAAAAAAAGGGAGGGGGGCGTGTGTGAATGGAGAACGAGTTATCACCCTTATAAAATCATGGCTCTCCTGTCACAATGACGCTTACACCTGTCTGGGAAGGGGGGTGGGCGTGGGAGTGGGGGGCCCGGGAAGCTGCAGGAAAACGGTTTGGATGTAATATTTACTTAAGTACTGGAATGTCAATTATTTCAATTTGGTATCATGGCAACGTACTGCCTCTCCCTCCCCTGCTCTGGTTTTATCGTTCAAATTTCAACCAGAATGGCCCATTTCGATGTACAGAAGAGTTTATTTCGGGGATTCATGGGTCTTCTTTCTCCCCCCCCCCCCAACCAGGGGGTCCTCAAATTGGTGTTATAAATAGATCTCTATAGGGGTTAAGGAGTGAATGTTTAAAAAAAAATAATTCCAGGAAACGAGTACTGGATGATTCTATGAAGTTGTCTTATGACAGAACCTAACCAAAAGGAAAATAATTTTCTTTTATATGTCGCGTGTAAACCAGTTGTTCTCAACGTGTGGGTCGTGACCCCCTTGTGAGTCGAACTACCTTATTAAAAAAATGAATAGCAATAAATGAAAGCATCAACAACAATAAATGAAAGCATCAACAACAATAAATGAAAGCATCAACAACAATAAATGAAAGCATCAACAACAATAAATGAAAGCATCAACAACAATAAATGAAAGCATCAACAACAATAAATGAAAGCATCAACAACAATAAATGAAA